GGCTCGCCGTGACCTTGGGCCGGTTGCCCCCTCTCTGCTCCCCGGCACCTGCTTCCTTCCCGGCACGAGCAGCCCTGCCAGACCCCGCGCCAGCCCTGGGACACAGGCACGGTGGCAGCCCCAGTGGACCAGGGCTTCCCCACCCACCACCTCGGGTTTATGGGGCGGGCAGATGTGGGGTTCCTAAATCCTCGCTTCTGAATGGTAAAATCCATGATGCTTTGCACTTCTCTAGGACGAGGCAGCTCAGAAAGGGCTTCAGAGAAAGTATCTGCCCTTAAGGAGAATTCGTCAGTGGGATGAGCTGTTGGAGGAGTTCAGATTCACCTGGATATTAGCTGCTTTCCGAGAGCATCACAAGGTCCTCTTTGGAATAGGGATGTTCAGAAGCGGGTATTTCACTAATCATGTCAGTTCCAGCTCGCACCAGGTCCAGGAGCTACCCCTGCTGTGGCTCTGCAGTTTAAATGTAGTAGGAGCCAAACTGCCTGTCTCTTCCCTATTTTTAAACTGCAGAACCACAGTGGTGGGGTGGGGGGGAGAGCTCCTGGACCCAGGGCAAGCCAGGATTGAGCTGGGTTTGCATCAGGTCCAGCAGCCCCTGTCTGCTGGGGGTCCCAGTGTGGAGCTGGGATCTCCTATGGACAGGGGCTGTTTCTTTAGGTGTATTATGGGGAGAAGTATTGGGGAAATGATAATGAGCAGTATTATTGCTTAAACACAAATTAGCAAGTTTACTTTATTTATAGGAACATCCTGTAAACCAGGAGTGCAGGAACTTTTTGGCCTGATTTTGTAATGGAAATTCTGTGGAGAGCCATGAATGCTCACAAAATTAGGATTTGGGTGTAGGACAGGATGATGAATCTGGCTGAGGCTGGGGCCAGAAAAAAGGAGTTTAGGGTGCGCAGGGGTGCTCTGGGCTGGGACTGAGGGGTTCAAAGGATGGAAAGGGGCTGTCAGCTGAGACAGGGAACTAGGGTGCACAGGAGGAGTTTGGGGTGCAGAAGGGTACTCGGATGGGATGGAGTGGTTCTGGAGGTGGGAGAGGTATCAGGACTTAGGCAAGGAATTGGAGTGTTGGGGGGGTTGAGGCTTTGCCTGGGTGGTGTAGACTCTGGGGTGAACTGGGGATAAGAAGTTTAGGAAGCAAGAATCTAAACTGGGAATCAATTTCCTTTCCTTTAAAAAAAACCCCCACTTGTGACCTCATTAATTGCAATGGGGTTTCTAGACATTTACAACATGTAAATATACAGTGTTGTTTCTGCCATTTTACAAATAGTAGTAACATATGGAGTAGTTTCATTGGCTGGTTCTAACTCATAAAAAAGAGATGATGCTGAGACAGGTCTGAAATTCTTAACCATAATCTTATTCAGATCAATGGAACTAAGAAAAGGGAAAAGAGAGAGGAGATATCTCCTATCTTCAAGTATAATCCCTTTGAAAACAAAACTGCTGCTTGTCTTCATTTTCTTATCTATGAAATGAGCAACTTCTGCTCAACCTTTGGCTTTCCCTATGTGCACCTTTTGAAACTAATGCTCTGTAGGTAAAGCAGCTCTAAAATAAAAGAAACCAGTGACATTTTAAAACACTACCTTTACCGTCTTTTTTTTTTCCCTCTTGAAAAACTATTGTTAGTGCCTGGAGGGGCAGAAGGTAACAAATACTGTTCAATTATTCTCTTTGTAGATTTAGTCATTTATGCAATTCAAAGTAAAGCTATTTTCCCAGCTGGCAAAACAAAGAAGTGAACACGTCATGTATATTCATGAATGGTGTACGCCACTGGAGCTTTTTACATGAATCATGTGGATCTCTGTATTACCTTGCCTCACTCCAGTCTTTTAGATTAGAGCCAGCAAGTGTCTGCAATTGATTGGAAGCAATTGTCCTGTTTAGTGTCCTTTTATGAGGAGAGGGGAGAAATGAGAAGAAAGGTCTTGAGACAGGAGAATTCAAAAAGATAAGTGAATCAATTATGTGCCTTGATGGCCTTAAGAAGAGACCTGTTTATCTACAATTTATGTCACAAATTCTGTGTACAAACATGGGAACAGGAATTTTTAGAAGTGCTGTGTTTGAGGAAAGAAGGTGACCAGCCATTCAAAATTAGTTCAGTTAACAATTCTCTCTCTTTAACAAGCATGAAAACATGCACTTTCATTTTCTTCAGTATTTTCCATTTGCTATCAAGGTAGATAATATTTAAAAGTGAATGATTACAGAACCATATAGGTGAATCTTCCATTTTAGAATCTGCTATGTAAATAGATTTCACAAGCTATCTGATGAAATGTAAAGTCTTCCCTAGACTGCCCTTTCTACTGTTTTTCTTTAATGCAATACATGTTCTTGAATTTTCATCAATCTAGAATGCGTTGTTGGGTATATCATGATTGTGCAGTAAGGAAATTTTAGCTTCTAGACCCCTGGTCATTTTTCTATAACAAAAATCTTCTCTCAAAACAAAGATTGCACGGGTTTAACTAGAATCGGATCAAATAGTTTAGATTAATTTAAATCGGTGCAAACCCTTTTTACCAGTTTGAGCAAAGATGGTACAAAACTTTTCTTTTATACGAAACTGACCAAAATTGAACCAATTGCAGTTGCTCATGTTTAATATATTAAGGTGCTGCAGTGTGATACTTCCTGGCATGTACATGCACTATTCACTTACACTGTATTCCCAGTGTTAAAGATGGGTGGCTATATTATGTGGCTTCATACATTTGGCCTGTGACTTGAACTTTGGCCATTCTGTGCCGTGCCTTGACTAAATGTCAAAGTTGGAATTTCAGACTGTTAGAGTGATCCTGTTTCTAAAAGAAAAATGTCTTTGTCAAAAGAACAATTACCACATCATGTACAGGCAGCTTCAGCAAAGAGTTGGTGGGTATAGAAACTGAACTTCCTTCTTGTGCCCCTTCAATCTGTACCTGCTTTATGTATAGAGAGCTTCCGTATTCCAGGACTGTTGGGCACATTTCAACTAGAACAAAAGCCATTCAGTGGGAAAAGATACTTTTGTTTGCCCTAAAACGAAAGCTTTTAATGTCCTTGGCAAGGCCTACTTTGATGACCTACTTTGATAAGTGACTCTTTGCCTAGATTTTATATTGTTTGTATCTAAGAGAAATCCCTTTACTTTGGCTTGGAAAACAGTTTGGGTGAAATACTTAAAAACACACACACACACACACACACACACACACACACACCACCTGTTTTTCAAATTAATGAAGGTTGCTAGAGGAAAGTGAAAGATTCTGACAAATAGGAGATGTGAACCCAACTCCCCCACTTCCAATTGGCTGCTGCATAGTAGAAAACTAGTGTTAACAGCAGAGAGATGTGACTTGGCTTGTATTCAGTTACATGTGTTCACTGCTTAAAGCTTCTTTAATTAGGGATGGATAGTCATATTTCAGTAACTGATTCATTAATGAAGCAGAATCCATCTCTTGGTTTGAATTATATGCTTCATCAGTGTACTCTGTGTTCCTTGTTAGGAGCAGGAAGCATATTTTCAAAATGTATTAAGATTATTATTTTGTATTACCCAGATTTATCCCTGGTGTAATAATAGTTATACTAGAGATGAATTAAGTCCAGCCAGTGTAGAGGTGTGTAAAATACGTCAAGGTTCATAAAGTGTTTTTAGTTTATTTTTATTATGAAAATCAAAATGCATGTGAAATCTATCAAACAGAAGACAAAGCTTTAGTCTGCTTTTTGTTGTCTTAACAAGACTTTGAAAACAGTTCTTTCCTTCCTCTTGAGTCTCTGAAACCAGCTTACTGACATTTTAAAACTCCATTAATA